ATCTATTTCGTACGACAACTACATCAGTATTCAGTAGAGAAATATTCTTCAACCAGTAGATGACAGTGTTTGTAAGTTTGTAGCTGCATCTAAGATATACTCTATGTCTTTTCTCATAATAATAATGTTTCATGTTTCCTTGTTAGGGCTCATGTACACGGGACGTTTGGAAAACACTTCTGAACAATGGAAACTGACTGCTGGAAAACATAGGTTAAAAAACGTCTGTTTAGCCGTGTTTGCATACTGCATTTATGTGCGTTTATGCATGTCTATGCGTGTTTGCGTTTAGAAGCGTTTTTTAAAGATAACCTCAGGAGACCTTCCAAAATGCCCAGAATGCACTGAAAAACAGTAAAAAATTAACTACCGTATTTTTCACCGTATAAGATGCACTTTTTCTTCCCCAAAACTGGGGGGGAAATGTCAGTGCGTCTTATGGAGCGAATATGGAGCGGCCGGGTCCGGTATTTCCACCGCGGCCGTGTCAGAATACCGGGCTGGCCGCTCAGCTCTGCAGCGGGACCTTACCTGTTCCTCTATCCAGCGGCGTGCTGTCTTCCCGGCTTCTGTAGTGTGGGCACTGGGCATGACAGCCGGGTGCCAAGTGCGCATGCGCAAGAAGCGGTGCTTTTTGTGAATGGTAAGGGCGGTACCTGGGACACATGACAGATCCAGAAGCCACCGGACCAATCACAAAGCGCAAGTGCTTCTCGCTCATGCGCACTGGGCACCCGGCTGTCATGCCGAGCGCCATTACAGAAGCCGGGAAGACAGCGCGCGGCTGGATTGAGGAACAGGTAAGATCAAACAAAAACTCTGCGGAAGTAAGAGCGGGTACCTGTCAAATTCAGGTACCCGCTCCCCACCTCCCCAAAGGTCAGCAGTCATCTGTACTGTCCACAGTCTCTGGTCATCCCTGTGCTGTCCGCAGTCTCTGGTCATCCCTGTGCTGTCCGCAGTCTCTGGTCATCCCTGTGATGTCCGCAGTCTCTGGTCATCCCTGTGCTGTCCACAGTCTCTGGTCATCTCCTGTACTGTGTCTGCAGTCGGTAGACATTTAGACATTTTGAGAGAAATAGAGAGAGCAGAAACAGAGAGAGCAGTATGTGTTGAGATTACCTGTCTTTTCTGGTTGTATTCACTATGGATCCCATCATGAGCATAATGTGGCACGTTCTACCATTTTTTCCTTCACGCAAAACCTGGAACTGACTGCGCTGGTGTACTGGGTCCATTTGAGTACATGGAAAACACTTTGCATGCATTTCTGATGATGAAAAAAGGCTCTGGACAGCATTTGGATATGGAACAGTTAAAAAACGCTTATAAACACGGTCAGCCGCGTTTACAAGCATTTGGTGTTTGAAACTCTGATAAAATCTACTCCTGAATGCAAGTGTGGTGCTTTCAAAAAAAACAACTGTAAACTCAACTGCCTGTAAACTCCACTGCCTGTAAACGACGATGTGTACATGGACACATAGAAAAACATTAAGGAGAGTTCAGGGGCTGCTAAAAAAAACCGCAGAAAAGCTCCTGAATGTGAGTTTATCAGCTGCAGTGTACATGAGCCCTTACAGTTGAGCAGAAAAGCACATGTGGACTGCATCTGTTCTATAGGGCTATATACAAAATGTCTAACAGAAACATTGGCACATCTGGCCATTTTACCTATGTTTGTGTTAGTGCCCAGCAATCAATGTCAAGTGAACAAACCTTTTGGGTATGTATGGGTATGTGAACCCCATAATGCAGTGTTTAGTGCCTGAGTGACCTATCATCAGGACCAAGCACTTGCTGGGTGGTCTGTATTTGTATAGAATCAACAGCACATAGGGAAGTTGATGCTGGAAAATGCCTGCTTTGGAACTTGGGGGGATTACTTCGATTTCCAAATGCCAGTGTGCTTTAAACCGTAGCCCCTGGATTACTACTACTAAATATTATTCAGAATAAAGTAAGGAATTTTTCTACCTAATATGAGGGCTGTACCTAAAGTAAAGCAAAAGTGGGCATAACTTTTATTAACTTACAAAGGACATTCAAATTCCACATGTTGGTAGATCATCTCTTCTGGTATAGAAACTTCTTCTTTTTCATTGCAGATAAAATTTGGATTTGAAGCTGAAGCACTGTGCCATCACTGGGTTCTTGATGAAAGAGGGATACAGACTGTCCGACATCCACAGAAGTCTAAAGAAAAAGAGTGGTCCATCGAGTCTGTCCTTTTTTCTTTTGGAGGGGGGGGGAAGGTTGTTGTTTGTTTGTTTTGTTTTTTGCTTGATGATGACATCATCACCAATGAGAAAATATTGTTCTTGCCTCTGTAAACATGTATCCTTCTGTGGTGGTCAGACAGCTTGCACCCTTCCTTCGTCAAGAAGGCACACATTGTGTCAGCTTGGAATCCATTATTTACCAACAAAGAAGTAAAAAAAAAGTTACTAAAAGCGGAAGAGTTACTCTTCCAATATGTGAAATTTGAAAGAGCTATGTAAATTACTAAAAAGTTTATAACCCCTTTTACACGATTTTCAGTGAAGCCCTCATACATTCATGTGTAGTTTAACTTTCAACCATAAAGACAGTATATATGTGATTGGTTTAGTTGCTTTTGAAATTTGGTGAATACAGAATATTAAATAGGTAAGTCTTGGAAAGATTCCAAAATATTGTATATTTTCCTTTTAGTAGCAAAGGTTTAGTCTTCTCACAGTAGAAATCATTGCTGTATCTAATCCAAGACATCGCCACGAGGACAGGGAGCTGTTATGACTGTTATATATAAAAAGGTAAGATGACCTTGCAATGCAAGCAAATTGTAAAATAATTATTGATCTGGACACTTTTGTGATTTATTAAAATGGCATAATTCTTTGTTGAAAAAAAAAACCTATAGGCTAATTCTACCCAATTCAAAAACAATATGTTGGCATCTGCAGTATTCACTTTAAAAAAAAACATTTATGCCCCACGTTTTTAGTAGGCTAGATTACTGCTACGAGAGCTTCTTCCTGTATGATGCAGGCTGGTAGCAAAAAACTATTTGCTTTCAGTGGGTTTATAAAGTCAAACTTCAAAAAGACTCCAGAACAACATACTCAAAGGGTCACTGGAAACTTTTTGACCTGTACATGTAGTCAGAAGGAAACTTTATAAAAAACTAATTTAGCTCAGGTGAGGAGGCTCCGACACAGCAAGGCTTCCCTTGATGGCAACCCAACAGTATCTTAAATCATAGAAATATAGAAAGGAGTGCCAGACTAAAACCAGATAAAAGAGTTCAATATAATTTTAATTGTTGGTAAAAAAAAAAAGTCATAATAAAACAGCCATTCTGGGGGCAAAACCGGATACAAATTAGAGAAAATAGTGACTTCAAAGATTTATATTAGAAGCATTATTAAACTCTCCAAATAGAGTAACAGCTCCATTGCTACACAGAAACTGTAAAAGGCCAGAGGAGGGTTCGGTAGTATTCTACTTCCTCTTTAAAAATGGGAATGTTTTTTAAAGTGATTGTAAAGGATAACATTTTATTTAAAAAAAAATTACAAACATGTTATACTTACCTGTTCTGTGTAATAGTTCTGCACAGGGCAGCCCTGATACTCTTCTTCTTCAGTCCTCCGCTGGTGCTCCTGGCCCCTCCCCCCTGTTGAGTGCCCCCACAGAAAGCCGCTTGCTATGGGGCACTCATGCGTGCCTCCCAAGCCGGCCCTGTGTGTCTATAAGACACTCAGAGAGCAACTCAGCCCCACCCCCACTACCTCCTTAATAGGTGTGGGCAAAGGCTGCTGTGTCGGAGCCACTGAGGAGAGGGAGAGCTGAGAGAGTACACATCACTGCATTGATATTGGGCTCAAGTAAGTATAAGGGGGCTGGGAGAAAAGTTGCTTGCAGAAGGACGTGTACCTTAATACAGGGAAAGTATTAAGGTATTGAAAAACCTTCTGCCTTTAGAACCACTTTAAAATTAATTCAGTTCTTCCAGCTTCCAGTGTCAAGTTTGACTTTAAAGCAGATCTTCATCTCTACATAGAAAGTGCCTACTGTCCACCTCCCCTCTGCTCCACTACTAGAAAAAAATGCTGGTCTTGACTGCAATAAACATTATTCTTAACAAACAAAACAATTTCAACTGCACAAATTTTCCTCTAATACAGTGCACAAAGCTGCAAATACTTTAAGAGGACATCCTCTCTCTTAAAAAACAGAAAAATTTCAAATAAATGTTGCGCTATGTGTAAATAAAATGCATATAAATTGTGAAAACAACTGTGAACATAATATATACAAATAGTATAAAATCAATAACATATACGGTCTAGATAAAGGACGATATAATAATTTTGAAAGTCCACGTGAATAATATCTCAAGAAAACAATTGGTGAGAAGAACTTGCATTCCTAAAGTGCAGTAGTGTATATGTACAAATCTTCTTTCCTTCCAACTAATCACCAATGTGAATAAATGACCACCATATGGACAAAATGGAGGTTTACCAGAGGAAGAGACCCCTTAACCACCTCGGCGGTATTATTCTTTCCGTGCTGAAAGCGGTACCATTTTTTTGCATGGAAATATGTAGTTTTTTTATTGTAGGCTGTAATTTTTAGGAATAACTCACTGAAATCTGTCCGAACAAGAGTCTATTAAACATCCCGGGTATGATAAAATTTGAAAACACGAAATCATAAATTAGAATTTAATAAATCATCATAAAAAATATATAATATAATAATAATAAATTTAATTCAATAATATAATCAAACCAAAAACACTGAAATTTGAAATACAGAGGCAAATTCGCACATCACTGAGCAAAGTCGCAAAATCGTTTTCAGTGTCTGATGACGAATTTCCCCGCAAATCATTATCACTAAATTCTACAAGTGGTTCTGATTTACTATCGCTGTTCTCTAGCTGTTCTAAAACTGCTTTTGATGTAAAGGGACGCTTTTTGGACGCCATGGACTTTTCTAAGTTTCCAGGCAGAAAGAACAGTCAAAATGCAGGCAGGGCACAGGACAAAGCACTAGGGACAAAATGTATGTGAAATGCATTGAAACAGCAATGTTTTACTATGTAATAATCATTTTTAAAAAAATTAAATTTTTTAAAAATTTCAAATTTGCCGCCAGTTCCGGCACCCGTATGTCCCGATGTCACAGGGACCGAAACACGGAAGAAGCCGGATGCCGGAATCGGCCGGAGGAGATGGCCAGGGATGCTGCAGGGGACACATCGTGGGAGTGAAGGACAAGGTAAGTGCTGCAGGGACTCCCTATGCAACGCTGCATGGTAAGCCCGAGTGTAGCTCGGGGTTACCACTTTTGGTATTGACATTTTAGCCCGAGCTACACTCGGGAATACCGCCAGGGAGGTTAACTATAGGGGGTCATTAAACACTTTGTGTCAAAATAATGCGTCCAGACTTCTATGTCAAATGTGAATCTAGGCTCCCCTTAGATTAGTACAGTTTCCCCTTGGCGTTGTCGGAACAGTATCATGGAAAATAAAACATGCCTCTCATAGTGCAGTAAAACCAATGTGCCTTTATTGCGCAAATATAAAATCCTACTTACAGATGTAAAGAGGAATAACAGCATTCATAGACAGTTTCCAAAATGGTGGACAGCGTGATGACATCAGAGGGAGGCTCCTTCCTACGCGTTTCATCATCAAAAGACATCTTCCAGAGCTTTTTATACTTTGTATATATTATGTTCCCAGTTGTTTTCACGATTTACATGCATGTTTTTTTACACATAGACAACAGTTATTTGCCATTTAAGAAACATAATTCGCCTAGGAAAATGACATGTACTGTGCCCACTGTACCTCCTGGAATATGTACATCACATATCCCAGGAAGCCTTTTGTTTCATTCAGAAGAGGAGGGGGTGGGCCTAGTGGTGCATCATAAGGAGGTATGTTGGCTAAACTAAGAAGTCGGCATGATTCTCGATGACATCACACACAAACATGGTGGAGCTGGAGCCGAGCAGCGGGTGCTGACAAGAAGATCTCAGCAGAACAACATTGGTTCCGTTGGGTGGGTGAGTATTCAAACGGTGGTGAAACCAGTAACAGGTAAACAGGGGTAAAATAAAGAGGGGGTGGGAAGCTGAAGATCCACTTTAACCGTTTCAATACCGTGCAATTGTAAGCTCGAAAGAGCAGGGCCCTCGATCCCCTCATGTTTTGCATTGTATTGGTATTATTCTGTCACATGTTCTGTCCCCCTTTGTAATGTACAGCGCTGAGTGAACTATTGGCGCTTTATAAATACTGTATAATAATAATAATAATTTTACACCTTCCTGCCCAGGCCATTTTTCAGGTTTCAGCGCTCTCACACTTTGAATGACAATTGCGCGGTCATACAACACTGTACCCAAACTAAAATTTTATCATTTTCTTCACACAACTAGAGCTTTCTTTTGGTGGTATTTAATCACCGCTGGGGTTTTTATTTTTTGCTAAATTAACAAAAAAACAAACCAAAAATTTTGAAACAAACCCACATTTTTCTTTGTTTCTGTTATAAAAGTTTACAAATAAATAATTGTTCTTCATAAATTTAGGCCCGAGATGTATTCTGCTACATGTCTTTGGTGAAAATAACCCAAATTAGGATGTATTTTTTTAGTTTGTAGGAAGGTTATAGAGTTCACAAACTATGGTATAGATCTGAAAATTGATCAATCCTGAAGTACTGACAGCCAATCTAACTTCTTGAGGTCCAAGAATGTCAGAATAGTACAGAATCCCCCAAATGTCAGGACAGTACAGATATCCCCCAAATGTCAGGACAGTACAGATATCCCCCAAATGTCAGGACGGTACAGATATCCCACAAATTACCCCTTTTTGCAGAGTAGACAGTCCGACGTACTTCATAAGAGACATGGCGAGTTTTTTGAAGTTGTTTTTTTTTGTCATAATTTTTCGGAAAATGAAAAAATTAAAAAAATTATTTTCACTATTTTTTTTTTTTTACATACTGTCACCAGTGCAGTACAGCGTCATCATATAACTGGCATGGCGGTTAACAGGGACACTGACTGGTGACAGTATGAAAAAAAAAAATATATATTATTTTTTTTATTATATTTAATTTTTTATTAATTTTTTTTTTTATTTTTTAAAGATTTTTTTTTCATATTGTACTATGACCAAAGTAGTACAATGTTACCATAGTAACATTGTACTACTTTGGGGAAGTGATCAGTATTTTTTTTTTTTTTTTTTTATACACAATTTGCTTATAGCAAAGAATTACTTTGCTATAAGCAAGCATTTACCTGAATGAAATCGATTCATTCAGCTTTTTTTTTTTTTTTTGTGCTTAGCTGTGATTTGGTCACAGCTAATCACATGACATGTGCATGTGATTAGCTGTGACCATTCACAGCTAGGCACTAGTTTACAATGGATGGCATCATGAATAAAGCCATCCATTGTATACAACTGTCATGTGACCTCCTGTGATTGGTCACAGCAGGTCACATGGTACCAGCAACGGGAGCCGGTACTCGGATCTGTCATCGGCCGTGTCCGAGGTGCACGGCCGGTGACAGATCGCACTGCTGCGCCGCTCTGCATTAGCACAAACTGCGCATGTGTGGGAGCACGCCAAATGGCGTGCACCCGGAGTGAAGAGACACATTTGAAGCCGCCAAACGGCCATTGGCCGGGCGGCTAATGGTTAAGGTATTCAAAGGTGTTTTTTACCCCTCTCAGTAGTATGTCTGATCAGCTAGAGTTGTGCCTAGTTGTTCAGATGCCTTTTCCACTAAATTCTCCTATAGATTATGTATAGACTTCTGATTCACTCTTTTTATTTGTTCTGATTACCTTTTTCACAGGGACAGAAAGTAAATGAAAATCACAAATTTTTAGTTGAAACTAGAACAGCACTAGAGTAGAAATATTTCAAGAAGACACCTATTCTGATGATGATTGTCTAAAGCTGGGTACCCATGGGCTGGAAATCAACCGAAAACAGTCATTTCGGCAGGAGCTGGACGACTTTCGACTGCATCTGTACTGCTCCTCATCTAACAGAAGCAGGTCTCACGACTGGCTTCTGTTGAACGGGCATGCTGGAAAATAAGCATGTAATCGGTATCCGAACACAATAGCTCAGTGGGGAGATAGCCACACTAAGATTGGATGAGTTAGTACAGCAATCATGGCCGGATCTAGGGGTGTGCTTGGGTGGGCTATGCCGCCCAGATTTCTCTTGTGCCCGCCCCAGGCCAGCCACCCAATGGATGTTTTGCCTGGCTATTTCCCTCTAGCCCATCATTCAGCACCGGTAAAAACCTACAAGGGGAAGGAAACCCCAAAAAGGAGGAGTGGCAGAGAGGAGAGAGGCTGTAGCAAGTGCTGTGATTTCCCCTCCTATCAGAACAGCGTTCCTCCATGTGGCCGATAACACAGGATCACTCTGCTGTCGGGCTGCACACACGGTTTGATTACTCGCTCCCTATGTCCTCCAAGGGCTACTAATCAACCGGCAGCAGGTCACGTGGGTGAGGAGCGGGTACCATGTGTGCATCAAACCATGTGTGCAGCCCGACAGAAGAGTGATCCTGTATTTTCTGCCACATGGAGGAACGCTGTTCTGATAGGAGGGGAAAGCACAGCAAAACCCACACCTTCTCCTAGCTCTGTAGCAGTTTCCCCTGTAAGGTGAGGGGGGGTTGGTGAGCTTGTGCTAGGAAGGGGGAGTTGGGGGGATTTGGGAAAGTGTGTTAGGAGGAGGAATGGGTGAGGTTTGATATGTGCTAGGAGGGGGTTTTGGGGAGAATTGAGTCAGGAAGGGGGATTGGGGGGAAATTTTTGTGATGGGAGGTTGTGGTAAAATTGGGGATGGGGGGGATTTGTGCCAGGAGGGGGTATTTGGGTAGGGAGGGAGGATTTCTCCTGGGAAAGGTAATTTGTAGGGGGTTGTGCTAGGAGGAGGGATTAGGGGGAATTTGTTTTTGGGGGGATGATTGTACAAGAAGGGGGGGGGGGGGGGAATTTGGGATAAAAGGGGGGTTTGGGGGAATTGACCCAGAAGGGATTGGAAGGAATGTTTGCGCTGGGGGGTTTGTACTAAAGGGGTGTTGGGGGAGATTTGTGCTAGGAGGGGGGACTGGGGGGATTTGGGTAGGGAGGGAAGATTTGAGTATTTGTCCTAGGAAGGGTTATATGGAGGGGTTGTGCTAGGGGGGAGGGATTGGGGAGAATTTGTGCTGTGAGGTGGGATTGGGGGGAAAATTTGGAGCTGGAAGGTTGTGGTAAGATGGGGGGAATGGGAGGGGACTTGTGCAAGAAGGGGGGATTTGTGTGGGGAGGGGAGGATTTGTCCTGGGAACGGTCATTTGTAGGGGGTTGTGCTAGGAGGAAGATTGGGGGGGGGGGGGTTTGAGCAAGAAGGGGGCATGGGAATTTGGGCCGAAAGAGGGGATTCAGGGGGTGATATGTGCTAGGAGGGAGTTAGGGGAATTCAGCCAGAAAGAGGGATTGTGAGGAATAAATTGCTGAGGGTTTGTACTAAGGGGATATTGGGGGCAGGGGATTTGTGCTAGGAGGGGGGGGATTGGGGGGATTTGGGTAGGAAGAGAGGATTTGTCCTGGGAAGGGTATTTTGTAGGGGTTGTGCTAGGAGGAGGGATTGGGGAGAATTTGTTCTAGGGTGGGGATTGGGGGGGAGAGGATTTGTGCTGTGAGGGGGGGATTTGGGGGAAATTTTTTGCCAGGAGGGGATGGGGGAATTTCAGCTAATAGGGGTGACTAGGGGGGAGGGAGGTTGTGCAAGGAGGGGGAGATTGGTGGGATTTATGATAGGAGGGGGGAATTTGGAAGAGAGAATTTGTGCTAGGATGGGAAATTTGAGAAGGAGAATGTGTGCTAGAAGGTGTTATACTTTTGGGGCTGATTGAGATTTGTCCTAAGAGGGGGGAATTGGTGTGGGATATGAGCTGGAAGGCAGGATTGGGGGACAACAATTTGGACTGGGAGGGTGGATTTGAACCTGGGAGGAGTGGAAATGTTTGCATTTTTAGGGTGAAAGAATTTTAGCTTGCAGATGGAATTTATGCTTAGAGAGTGAGTCTACTAATTAGTGCAGTTTTTTTTTTTTTTTTTATGGGGAGGGATTTATGCTGAGACAGGATGCTTACACTTCAGGGGTGCAGTTTGTCATCTTCACTCTAGGCACTAGATGACCTTGTCCCAGCACTACCCGTGCTACACACGGGGCACTCAACAGATCTCCTCCTCCCCACACAATACATAGCTTAGATCAGATTCCCTTACAGACACAGCTTCAATCCACATAATGTATAGCT